GAATCTGCCCTTACAGGAGCAGAGGACAAGTCCCAACCTTGTCTTTTTACAGGCAGGGCCTGAAACAAGCCCTGCCCCCAGTGGGGAGGGATTTTTACATGCAAAAATATAGGTAAGGCAGGAATTATGAATACAGGGAAAACGTAACAAGGCAGGGGACTACTGCTGGGCTTTCCTTTCCCTCCCTAGCCTTGACTAGGAGGGAGTGCAAGAAAGTGTGGGGGAAAAGGGGTCACAAAAGTTTATGCTCAGATAAATTTGTTAGTCTCTAAGGTGCCACAAGTACTCCTGTTCTTTCTCCCCTTCAGTTGTTCCTTGTCAAGGGAACCTAGAGGCAGTGAGGCATCATCTCTGCAGCCTTGGGGGTGAGGGGTTGTTAGATGCAAATAAAAAATCTAGAAAAATGTTTGTTTGTTTGTTTGTTTACTGTTTATCAACCTGGCCTTTCCAAATTACTTGTTTGGAGCTTGCACTGTTTATTGCCTCTGGCCTACCTGTGCCCGTGCCCTAAGCATAGGGGAAGACCCATATTACACAGCCTGGATTTTAACAAGTAGACCTGCACAGATCTATCGCAGTTACTTATTCTGTGACGTGATACACATACATCTTAATGAATGTCGCTGACAGCGCTAACTTTTTCCTGCCTTCCTTCAGGTGTGAATCGCCACTTTCACATGATTTGTATTCGAGATAAATTCAGTCAGAATATCGGACGTCAGATTTCCTCCAGAGTGATTTGGGATCATTTGAGCACCATGTACGACATGCAAGCACTAGTGAGTATAGAAGATTGGTATTGGGGAATCCTGATTTCCAGTAGATTTCAGCAGCTTCGATATGACATACTCGTTGGGCCTGATTCTTACATTAATGGAAATTAGGTGACTCCTGTGAGGTCAGTGGAGTTTCACCTGTGTAAAACTAGTATAGGAGAGAGGAAAATCAAGTCTGTTATTTCTTTCAGCTTATGCTCTTGCTTTGATGTAAAATTTCGAGTTCTGTAGGCCCTGATCCAGTAAATACTTAGGCACATGCTTAACTTTATACATTCAAGTAGTCTTACTGACATGTGTAAAGTTAAGAACTCACAAGCGTTTGCAAGATCAGGGCTGAGAAATACATTGTCTCCCTCATATCCTGTATCTTGTCCTCTGATAACCCTTACGGAACTCCTGACCTCAGATTCACTATTATAAGTTATTTGATCTTTTCCTGTGCATGAAATTACTCAGGCGTTTGTTTAGAAAATCTGAGCTGATAGTTCTAACATAATCATACAAAATAATTTTTTCTTTCCTTTTTAAGCATGAATCTGAGATTCTGCCCTTCCCTAATTCAGAGAAAAACTTCATCCTGCCTGAGGAAATTATCCAAGAAGTGAAAGAAGGTGAGATCTGATACTAGCTTTTACGTTGGGATGCTCTAATTCAACTTGAACTCCAGAAGAAGGGAAGAAATAATGATGTACCAGCCTGGTGCCAATGTTTCACATAATTGGATTGTGTGGGCATGGAAAACAGTAGGAAAGTTTAACATCGATGGGATCTTTGATACAAAGACATTTTATTTACATTATTTAGATCCAAACATTCCCTTTGATTGAGTACACAGGTCTTCCACTTGGCAGGGCAGTGGGGGCTGCTATCTGCAGCAAGGAGGTCAAAATTTGGCCCTTTGGACTCATATGCAGGTGATTAAAGGTTTATTTGTTTTGTGGGCGAGGCGAAGTTGCACACTTTAGTAAGACTACCATTGGTAGTAAGCACTATGTCTGACTGTGTTTGCCAGGATAGATCCTTTGTGTTTAAAATGATGGCCATGGAGTTTTGTTTTATTTCTAGAAAGAACTATATTAAAATATAGTCTATTTGGCCAATGAAAATTCCAATTGTGTGTATGTGGTAAAATGTTACCGATTAAGATTCATCAGGCAATTGTTACAATAATGCTACTTCGTTAAAACAGTTTTATTTCAAAAACTGCAGTTACATTGGATAGCTGCAGTTCTCTGGCAGGTAAAACACTAGCCTTTTGGCGGGGTGTTTCACAAATCACCTGCGGTGTTTGGGAATCTGGAATAATGAATTTGATTGTTAATTTCTTGCATTAATTTAAGATAAGATTCTCAATTTGCTTTCAAGTAATTTGTGAGGCAACTACTGCAAGAAGTGTATGAAGAATTTATCCCTTCAGAAGGAGAAAGGATTTTATCTATGGTACTCTTGGAAATAAACAAAATAAATGTATTTATAGTTTAAAGCAATACAGTTGTATTTATCAGGGATTTGGAGCAATCACATTTTTGAATTGCTCTGCTCCAGCTCCGGGCATAAAACTTACTTGTCTGCACTCCAGCTCCGCTCCAAATCCCTGGTTTATATTCAACTCTAAAATCTGTTCATAGAATCATAGAACTGGAATGGACCTCGAGAGGTCATCTAGTCCAGTCCCCTGCACTCAAGGCAGGACTAAGTATTATCTCTAGACCATCCCTGACAGGTGTTTGTCCAACCTGCTCTTAAAAATCCCTAATGATGGAGATTCCACAACCTCCCTAGGCAATTTATTCCAGTGCTTAACCACTCTGACAGTTAGGAAAAACTAATGTCCAACCTAAACTGCCCTTGCTGCAATTTAAGCCCATTGCTTCTTTTCCTATCCTCAGAGGTTAAGAAGAACAATTTTTCTCCCTCTTCCTTGTAACAATGTAATCTTTTATGTACTTAAATTATTATCATGCTCCCTCTCAGTATTCTCTTCTCCAGACTAAACAAACCCAATTTTTTTCAATCTTCCCTCATAGGTCATGTTTTCTAGACCTTTAATCATTTTTGTTGCTCTTCTCTGGACTTTCTCCAATTCATCCACATCTTTCCTGAAATGTGGCACCCAGAACTGGACACAATACTCCAGCTGAGGCCTAATCAGCACGGAGTAATGCGGAAGAATTACTTCTCGTGTCTTGCTTACACCACTCCTGCTAATACGTCCCAGAATGATGTTCGCTTTTTTTGCAACAGCGTTACACTGTTGACTCATATTTAGCTTGTGATCCACTATGAGCGCCAGATCCCTTTCCACAGTACTCCTTCCTAGGCAGTCATTTCCCATTTTGTATGTATGCAACTGATTGTTCCTTCCTAAGTGGAGTACTTTGCATTTGTCCTTATTGAATTTCATCCTATTTACTTCAGACTATTTCCCAGATCATTTTGAATTTTAATCCTAGCCTTCATTTAATGTTTCTCCATGATTCTTAGACTACCTAATTTCAAAACTCCTTTGTTCTTAGAGCTCCTCTCTGTGTAATCTGATCTAGCAGAAATCTCCACCGATACTTAGCCCACTGGCCAAAAAAAAAAGAAAAAAAGAACAGTCAAACTTGGAAGATCCAGATTGTCATCAGTGCTGTTATCCAAGATAGGAACTTGGAATTTCAGATGTCTATCTCTGAAAAGGGACAGTAGTTCTTATGATATTTTAAACTACACTGGAACGCCTCTCAACTACTAGCTGCAATAAGTATTCCACTCAATATTTATAAAAGGCAGCATCAGTCCAAGCCATTGCACCATATTTTGCCCAGTTACTATTATATTTGTTCCTATTAAGAAAAAATCGATTGGAATCTGTGTTTTGGTGACCTCTGCCCTAATTGTTTCCATGACTCTACCTTCTATTTGATGTCAGCAGTGATTGTGGCTCAATTGTTCTTTCCATCCATCTGTTTTTTGGCAATGAGTAATCTGTTTACTTAACTGGAGTCAGTGATGACTGTTACAGTAACCAGTTTTGAACACTGTGCACTTACAGTTGATCCTGAGGTGCCGAACACAGGAAAAGATAAATTATACTTCTATCAAACAACAATCATCATCTGCTTAATAACTCTTTTTACAGGAAAAGTAATGATTGAAGAAGAGGTGAAAGAAGAAATAAAAGAAGAGTTGGAAGCTCATGCAGGCCCAGAAGAAGGTACATCTGTAATTTTTATACTTTATAGCCACACTTATCTAGAAGGCAACAGCAGTTCTGAATGGATTTCATCAAGTGGTATAGGCCCAAAAATTTGACTTACCTTAAACATAAAATTGGCATGATATGGTACAGAATCTTTAAAGAACAAAAGAGCATCAGACCATTGACAAGAACTAAAATACTTTTGAAATGTACAGAAACTACTGTCTTTCTGGAGATCAACAAATTTGAATTTCCTTTGCTGGTTCTGCAGTTATACTGAACAGTGCCAAAGTCCTCAAACAGTTGATTTGAGCTCTGGGAGCAGGTGGGAGAGGATAAAGGGCCATAGCTGATTCCTATTAAAGCCAGAGGTAAAACTCTCATTGCAGTAAGCCAGCCTCAAGGTGACAAAGGTGTAGATCACACTAGCAAGGTCCACATTGAAAAGAAATGGTCGCAATCTTCTGGCTAGGTGCAGATGGAAAATATATTCCTTGTGTCTTCTGCTATATGATCCTCTAGCAGCAGCTGTGGATATAACAGTATCCCTAGTTTGTGAAACTGAAACAGATGGCGGGCAGCACATCATCAATGGGAGGAATCCTTGCAGTACCAGATTAGTTGGTTCACCTATTTTGGCATCCTGCTTGCAGCAGTTGCCAGTATCTGATATTTCAGAGGAATTACCTTTTGCTCCCACCTCAGTTGTGCAGTGCTGAAGCAGGGGAACTCCATTCTTACCTCTGAAGCTTCCTCCCTGACGTATGAGATGTGATTTCTCTCATCACTTTACATTGGACCTTGTATTACTGCAATCAGTGAGGATTTTGCTGTTCATTTTAATAAGAGCAAGATCAAGCCTATTGTTAGTGGTCTGAAATTATCCAGTTATATCATAAAATACTTGTTTAATTTTAAAATACAGCTACAATATTTACCTCAATGACAATGAGTTTCATAGGCTGAACATGTGCCCTGTAAAGTAGAAGTTCCTTAGAATAAAAATTATTGCAATATAATCTAGGTTAGTGGATTATACTACTATTTTTAATTGATTTATCAAAGTATGTGCAGCATTTTAAGGACAAATAAATGAAAGTAAGGTATTCATTTTAAATAACTTTTTTCTCTGTAAAATGCAGAGAATACTTGCATACTTACAAGGACGTTGGGAGGCTTAATCGGTTTGAAAATTGCTATAAAGTATAAAAAAATTGTTCATATGAGCCTGATTTGGAGTCATTGCTTTGATCCCTTTTCAGTTTATGCACCTTCAGGAAACTTGGGAAAAGCAGCTGAAAAACCAAGCAGCAAAGAGAAAGAAAGGAGCTCATCAGATTCTGGGTCCAAAGAAGGAGCTGATAAAAGGAAACGTAACAGAGTCACTGAAAAGGTCTTAAATGCAAACAGCAATCCCTCCAGTCCAAGTGCTGCAAAACGGCGCAGAACATAGAGAATACAGTGAAAGACAGGTGCTTTTAACTATAGAACCAGGGAAGGGAACAGTAGAATGGAATAGGAGAGAAAATAAGTTGTTATAAAGATTTGTTAGGTGGAGAAAAAACTATTTGAGCCAGATATTAAAAGCTTCAGCACACTGTCATTATGTGTGGACATGGGTTTGTGTGTCTTCTCTCGTAACGAGTTGCTTGCTGGTCAGTATTGCATAGCTAATCGATGGCTACGTTCTCAGGATACTGCAGGAGAGTTGGCAGCTTTACAAGCAAGTGTGTACTACTTAACAAGTCAAGTGGTGGCATTTTAAAATATTAGTAATGCGCATGCACAGACACTGTGTTAACACAGTTTGTGCAATAAGCTCTTGGCGGAACAAGAGCCTCAGTTTTTGAAAAGCTTACGTCATTTATTTAAAGTTTGGATCCCTTTCCGGTATTATTTGTATTGCTTTCTTTGGTGACCATTATGGCCCCTTGGTGGGTTACTGTTCTTAGGACATTTTACTAGTAACATGTTCTAGCAAGAACACCTTTTTCTATTAAATGTCTGGCTTTGTTGGTCCAGTAAAACTAAAAGCTAGCACATTAAATACAGATCTAAGGTGAAGCATTCTTTGTTACTGTTCTGTTTGACTGAGGGGAAAAGTAAACCCCGTCTCATGGAGACTTAGTGTGGTATAATTTATTTTTCAACCTTTAAGTACATACTGTAAATAAAGGAAGATGTTAAATGTTTCTAGACAGAAGTCCTCATAAGTCGCTTAAACTAATATGTCCAGTAGTGCCACATGGTATGAAAGGGATCCACTGCGCTATGCAAGAACCTGGAGATACTGCCTCATCCAGTTGTACTGTAATAGTGTGTATATAACAGTTGTTTTTGTATTTCAGTATTTAAGTCAATTTTTTTAAAAAGCTATTTTTACAAAGGGCTGTTAAATGGAAATAATATTGTAAAACCTTTATCTTGTGCTGTTATTGTACTTTCCTGGAGTAGTTGTAGTTCACTCTTACTGGTATTTTGAAACTTGTTTCAGTCTTATATGCTAGAGTATTGAGAATTGATAGCAGTTGCTATTTTTTTGAATTGCCAGAAAATGATCAATTCCCCCATTTTCTCCTTTCCCTCTTCCTGACATACTGATTTTAATAGGTGCATGTTAAACTGCTGAATGAAGCAGTCTGAAATGTTATTGGGTTATATCTTCACAGTATTAACTTTACTGTTAAATAAAAAAAAATAGCCCAACACTTTTGTCCTGCAGCATTGTCATCTACTTGAAGAAGTGTGAATCTAATAGTTTGGCTCATTGTGTTTTATTAGTTGACCATTGTGCAAACTAGCTAAAAAAAACAGGCTTAGGACCATTTTTTAAAAGATGCTGATAGGTGCCTAGTAGGACTTTCAGAAGTGTCTCTGTGTTGGAAATTGTGGATCCTCCTCCCTTTCCCCTGTTTTAAACAATGGAGAAATGGATGTGGCTTGTTTTGGTTAAACAGCGGCACCAATAGCTGGTATGTGGTCCTGTACAAAACGTCTTTGCCTTTGCAATTGGCTCACCCATGGATCTCAGTAGAGTTCTGGCAATCTGTGTTCATTTGGTTTACTGCTGCTAAACAGGCAACAGAGACAGCACATCACATGCTGTGCTAGCCTTTGCCCATCATTTGTGTTTAAGTGACTACATCGTAGATATAAAATCCAGAGCATATGCCTTAATCATGAGGCTATTTTAACCTCTTAGTTTCTAGACCTCTGCTCCCAAGTTTCTGCCCTCCTTTCTCAGATTCCTCTGCCCAGCGCAGGCAGCTTGACTGAAAAATCAAATCCTGCTGCTGTTCTTGCTCCAGGTCGATAGAGTTTCCTGCTAGAGGCCTGTCTTTTTCTGCTGGCCTTCACTACACCCCACGCTGGCCTCCACAGACAAGAGGGCTCATCCTGAAGAGAGAGGAGAGGGATCTGGCATAGGAAAAATGGAAGGGCACTCCCACGATACGGAGTGACAATAGAGATAGAGGGGGGGAAGGATGATATAGCTAAGGATGATGCCTGAGAAGCCTACTGGTTGCTCCCAGTCAAACCAGATTTGGATAGCAGGCAGCTAGGTTTCCCCATGAGAAAAGCTGCAGGAAACTGGGGCCTGTTTAAGGGAAGGGGGGGGGGGGAGATGTGTGGCAGGGGGACTGGTGAGTGTATTCATAGATCAAGTAACCATCCAAACTTTGAGGGATCTCTCACTAGTGTTGTATAATAGGAATAATAATTTATACTTCTACAGTGTTTTCTATCTGAGGACTTCAAACCTCTCTATGAATATGTATTAATGTTAGGTAGGAAAGTATAATTATTGTCACTGTTCAAGTGGGGAAACTGAGGAACAGAATTTAAATGAAATACCTGATGTGTCTCACGCAAGACCAGCTTCAGCCCTGATGCAGAACATGGCAGAGTCCACGAAGTCAAACTTCAACTGTGCGTAGATTGTGATGGCACAAAGAAGCAGGGCTTTCCCCTCCACTGGGCAGCACGCACAGCCCAAAGAAGTCTATATTACTTTTTAGGGGAGTGGGTGTTGTCAAGACAACTAGGGGATGCACTGAAGCGCAAAAGCCGATGGAAGATGATGGTGGCAAAACCATGCAATCTTGTGGCCAATCCCTTTGGGGTGTTGTCATGTGCATTAACCACAAGACTATCCTTTTAAAAAAAGGTATTTTTGCTATGGTGATTGCAGGGTTTGCTAGCCCTTATGTTTTTGCAAAGCTGCATGACTGACAGGACATCACCATGTGATGCAACATTTCACTGCAATCCCTGAAAATAGGTGGAAGTGTAGGGTTTGCTGGATGTTCTGGGTTTTGCTTTTTTGAGCTGGTAGAATAGATATTTAAGAGCAACTACCCATTTTGAGGTTAATTCAAAATGGAAACTTGCCTTAAAAAATACCAAAATGTTCTGCGAGCTTCCCTCCTCCCCGCCACCTTCATGAAGCTCTGGCTTCTTTGCAACGTTGTCCCGTGATTTCCCCCCCTTCAAACATGACGATGATTACGTTAATCAAATTCAGATTTGGGGTCTGGTACCTCCTTACCCCCTATTCTGCAAAGAGGTACTCACGTGCTTACACTTATGCACTATTAAAGTCGAACAAACAGTTGTAGGATTGAATTTTACAGCCTCCTATTGCCCGCTGGCAGCGGGGCCAAAAAGGGTGGTGAGCGCTGGGGGCCTCCTGGATGCCTGCTCTCGGCCATGGCCCCTGCAAATCAAAAGAAAAATAACAGCGCAGTGACCAACGCTAGGCATCCTCTGTGGCGGACCCCCGAGCTGTCAGGCGGCCCTGCTTGCGGGAAAAGGCTCGCTCTCTCCGCGGGAAGGGTGTTTGCAGCCGGCGTGTGTCTGAGTCGCTGACGTTTAACGATCAGCCTCGCCGCGAGCCGGTTTGGCGAGCGCCCCTTCCCTCCGGTTGGGCCCCAGCCCGCCGCACCGCGCCAGCGGCTGGAAAAGCCGCCGCAGAACGCGCCCCACGCCGGGAGCCCAGCGAGGGATGGAACGCGGAGACACCGCCAACGTTCCAGTGGCGCGCCTCGGCCAATGGCGAGGCCGGGCTGCAGACAAGGGAGGCGGAGCCAGCTGGGCCGCACGCCTCCCGGAAGTCAATAAGGCCACTCACGTGGCTGGCTTTGTACCCTACCCCTCCCAGCTGCTAACACAGCGCCTCTTTCGGTTTCCTTTCCTCACAGCCGGGGGCCCTGATGGCGGCTTGGATGAGCTTCAGGGGGCTGGAGGATGACGAGGAGAAAGAGTGGTGCTCCTGGGAGTACGACTCCACCTGGGAAAGCGAGGAGGAGGAGGAAGGGAAGGAGTCGCAGGAGGCCCGAGCCGACGGAGAGGAAGAAGAGTCCTCGCAAGGGTGGTTCAGGGGCTCCCACCAGGCCAGCGGCGCACAGGTGACTCCTCCGAGTAGGCTTTCTGTATGTGACAGAGGGGGGCGACCTGGTAGGGAAGCTGGGGGTTATTTTGGCAGGGCGGTGGGAGAGGTGTTATTCCTCCAGTGTGCTTGGGGGAGTTGGGGGTGAGGAGAGAGCCCCTCGGTATCAGATCTGTGTATGTGGGGGAGAAATATTAATGTGCCTCTCCTTCCAAATTGCCTTTCTCCTGACCCTGAAGGGTTAGTGGTAAATAGTCCCTCACTCCTTTTAAGCAAGCTATCTTCTGACTTCAAAAATCTCCTCTAACTCCCTATTGTAAGGCAAATATTTCTCTTCAGCTAAGTAGTTTTCCTCGACTTTGCATTACTGTTTGTTAAATGTGTTACGAGCTGAGGTTGCATAGTTTATTCTGCAGCTTTGAAAGCTACAGCTTCCACGTGTTGTAATGTCACACATACGTTGCTGCAGGGGTAACTGACCCACAGTGACTTGGAGCCAATTCTGTATAGTTTCTTAGTTTGTAACCAGGAGCAGGAGCAGCTTGAAATAGCTTCATAGAGTTCCATGTTCCCCTCCGAATGGGATCACTAGCATATTATTTTGCTATGATCTTAATGAACCATATTTCCAAATGCCTCAAAGAAAGGGGGCACAGGCTCAGTACTAATGCATTTGGCAAGAGGTGGGTATTCGGGACAGAGGTGTGCTGGTGAGGTTATGGCTCAATGGAAAAATTAAAATAAACATCTGTGGTGTTATGTTCCACTAAAGCTTCGTGAAATTGCCACATGCTGTTTCTGAATAGCTTTCCCAGCATTCCTGGTAAGCAGGCTAATTTTGTTATGAATCAACTTTCCATCTTGTAGACTCAGTTGATTCCACTTCCCTGAGTCTATGATGGTGAATTCTGTTTTTTAACATCATAGCTCAGAATTGTTGACACTGAGCATCGTCTGTCGCTATAAATGCTCCACCCACTTCCTTTTTTTGGGAGGGGGGGGTGACCTTTTATTGGTGGCCCTAAGGGATGTTACTCTTAAGATTATCAACTACCATCAAGCGATGTTTCTTCGCTTTTAAGAATGAAATAAAATTTACTAGGTTTTTACAAAGCTACTTCAAGAAGGGGCGCTATATAGATCTGCGGTGAACCTGAAAAAGACCACCAGCTAATGTCCTACAACACTTTAAAAAAATCCTTATGGGGCTGCAA